GTTCGTTTAGTAGGTGAAGAATTGGAATCTATTTTAAGCTACATATCGCAGTTGCCATATGGCGCAAACTATGCATTAATGGCGAAAAGCGAACAACCTTTGAACATACAGGGCTTTACAACCTGAGTGTCACAGCCGCCCCGCTCTGCCGCCACGCTTAGGTCCGCGCAGCGTTCGTGGCGCTGGCTGCGCGTCGACTGAAGCTTGGCAAAAACCCGGGCGATACGCCGCAAACGCCGCGCGCGGCCTGAGCGAGGCGGCCGCGTTGGAGGAGCCGCGCAAGCGGAGGCTGTGACTCTTACGTTGAAAAGCTCTGTATATCAAAGCATCGTTGAAAGTATTTTGTTGAAGACATCCGCCGACGCTTGAAGACCCACTGCCAAAAGCACACAAAACGGATTGGCTTGCATCAGAACCAAATAGTTTAAAGTTTTTGCGGCTTTGTCGCAGCTAACGCAGTGTACCTTTTTGCATTCAACAACTAAAGAATCCCAGAAGAGATAGTTGTCACAATTTTCAGAAAAAACTGAGATTCAACTTTACCTTTGTGAGATTTAACCAGCGTTGCAATAATTAGTTGTTTCTCATAGTTCTCAGACTTCTCGCGACCTGGTTTGTTCACACACTTCCTGGATGTGATTTCCCATGTGTCCGTGGCCCTTTGAGATGTAATGTATACCATTACACTCGTCTTCGAACGCTGTTTCCGAATCTGACTTTCATTTCTGCTAATCGTTTTTCTGAATCGTGCAGCGTTTGGCCGCTCCAAGGAAACACGATGGGCACACCAATGCTGCCGGTACGCTGTGACGTAGTGGTTACTCAGACAGCGGATAGGATCCCTGCGCCGGAGAGGTGGCAGGGCCGCGGGGTTTCCCCAGCGGTGGGTCTGCCATCGTCCGCCGGAGCCCTCCCATTTCTGCTCCGGAGCCCTCCCTTTTCTGCTCCGGATACCTCCCATTTTCTGCTCCGGATACCTCCCATTTTCTGCTCCGGAGACCTCCCATTTGTGCTCCGGACCCCTCCAATTTTCTGCGGCACGGCTCTTCCAAATCTGGCGGACTCGCGCCGAGCAAATTTCTTCGGCGCGGCTCTGCCAAATCTGGCGTACCTCCGAAGCAGAAATGGCGTACCTTTGCAGCAGGGCCGGAGAAGCGTCCCATTTGCCTGCCAGTGATGTCACCCCGACCTACAAAAAGGGACCGCCCATTTGCCCCGCTCTCATTGGTCAACTGGGTCCGGCGCGACTCTGGCAGATCGACTGTCCGGCGGAAGGGTCCGGTCGATTGTCTGAGTAGTGCGATAGCCTCACAAGTTGATACAGATAAGTTAATAGTAATCATTTTGATGCGTAAATGGTAAATCTTTTTTCCAATTTTTCAGCTTTTTGTAAAGAGTTAGGATGACAAAAGCTGACAAATGACAAAAGCTCAGAATATATTAATATCTGTCCAAGACGTTACACTGCCCACAAGAGTTATAAAATCGCGGAAGTGACCTGTTTTAGTTGTAAATAATTGGAATGAAGGAAAATTTTCTGTACACTTACATTTATGCTTCTGAATTAAGGAACAGCGCAGATTTATATGCAGTTTGCCAGAGAATGACATATGCGCAGCACAAAACACTTTCTGATGGAACAAAAGTCGAATCACATTTTTTAGCGGCTCCATCCCTCTGCAGCCTCATGAGAAGCTTTGACATATGAAAAGTAAAGAATATGGTGCAATTTCTTGTTTGCAGTGCATTAGCACTTCCTTAAAACGAGTTTATTCGAACAAAATTTGACTCTGCGAAGATTTGAGATCATTCGCGTACAAATGCATTGGAGGGGAAGGGTCGAGTTTTCCAGTTTGCGAACGCTTTTGTGCTTTCTAGATTTCACCGCCATGCCACTTTCGAACGTTTATAAAATTACTGATGCTTTGCCAACTTTATTGCAGGGTCGTTAACTTTTCGAATTGATGTTTTGAAGCTTTTATCTATTCTCCATAGTTTAGCGATGCTTCCGAACGGCAATTTCGTCAATACATCCATGCAATTACCAATTTTTTACACCAGAAATCAAAATATGCTGCGATCAGATCGATACTGCTCACATAAATAGTCGTGGAGGCGTATTCCTTACCGGTACACTTTCATCTCTTTGACGGTTTTTTGTTTTAATCGATTTTGCGGTACAATCTAGTCTTTCCATAGCTAAGAAACCTTGTTAGAGTTTTGCTTCCCCATAGATCAAATTGTTTGCTAAAGCAAAGCAAGCTCTACAAGAGGGAGTTAGAGCATCAGCGCAAGGATTGAATCATGCTAAGTTTGAAGACAAAGTCCAAAAAAACTTAGAGACCTAACAATCAAACTCTTGCCCAGAAATTATCACGATTTGTTCATTGTATACTCTCCTAGTCCAATATTTACAAGAATAACCGCTGTATTTTTTTTCAGTAACTTTAATACGAAAGAAAAAACAAGCTAAAAATGCGAAAATAACTCCATTTCGGTATTTACGTCACATTTCATATTTTTTGAAACAGCGCTTGCAAAAACCTGAAAATTTCTACTTATGCTTGCAAAGATAGAAACACTTATGGGGAAACAGGTCAACATTGCTTTGCTTACAGCATTCCAGTTTTCTCTTTTTTATTAGCTACAAGTTATATACGATGTGTTTCTATCAAACCCTCATGAGAAGAGTATGGGTATATAAAAGTCTAATGGCAGTAAAATTCATTCATCGAATGTTTTAATACTATATACAGCCCATTTAACGTAAAAACCATCTTGTGAATGTTTCAAGGATATCTCAGGAGCTTTGCTCTATCGAATGCTATTTTTTTACAATTTTTTTAAACCTAGTCAATTTCGGTAGCATAATAAACATTCAGTAATAAAATGCAGCATCATGCAATCATAAACAGCAAGTTGGTAAGAGAATTGACGCTATGTCGTCGAAACACTGACATGTCAGTATTAACTCGACGAGTTAAATTATTAGCGACTAGGTATCCATATTTAAAGGCAGTGTCTCATCAAAGTTGAGGTCGCGCGGATCTTCATATATTCCATTACAGCGACCACTAAATAGGCCATTGCGACAAGTCCCACTCAATTTGACCCCCTCTACGCTGAGAAAAATTTGCTCAAAGTGGTGCGCGGAGAGCGATTTGGTACGCGCGGACGATCTCTTCGGTCTGCCCTCTCACACGTTTGAACATGTCCCTCCACTTGGCATCCACCTCCTCTCTGTTACTGCCACTATGGCTGAAGCTGAATTTGGAAGGTACAACTCGTCCCAGGGCCCGGCACGAGCTTGTCAAAAGGGGTTTTCGAAAACGAATTCCCCTTTGACCTTAAGATCTTTTACGAATGCCCCTTTGAGCCTAAAAACGCAACCTTGGCTTGTACAACGAAAACACCGCTCAGAAGCGTCCAAAGGCGCTTAAAAGCGCCCAAAACGTTTGAGTTTCTCCACTCTTTTTTTCATCTCTCTCACCTCACAGAAAATGAGATATGATCAAAGAGATATAGAAGTTTTGCTTATCGTAGTCGTTCCGCACATACTGGGATCTTGCGCCGTCAAGTAAAACGCTCTTCTCAGTTTGCTCTCACAATTTAGCCGTGTCTTCCGTGGTCTGCTTTGAGCGGCAGTGAACGATTTGGCAGTACCCGTATATGGACACAATACAACAAATCCTGATGTTTAGATCTCGTGCGTAGGCAGAACGACAAAATCTAATAAAAACCACAAACCACAAGAGTGACCTCTTGCCATTCAACCAAAAAAACTGAAGTGCGTAAAATAGACCTAGGCCTTAAAGGCGGCTCGGCAGAATTTCGTCCTGTTTTTCACCTTTTCGGAGCCTTCTCGCCATGAGGAACCATATCTGGGCTTTTCAGCGCATTGAAATGGCAAAAATGCGCTTTTCCGACGCTTCCAGATCAGCTTTTAGTGTCAGTGGGCGGGGCTTGACACGAAAAAGGCGGAGCGCGGTTTCTTCCGGCGTACACTGAATACGGATCCGAATAGCTTCGGAAAAAGCGCATTTTTGCCATTTTCTTGCGCTGGAAAGCCCAGATATGGTTGCTCATGGCGAGAAGGCCCCGAAAAAGTGAAGAACTGGAAAACGAAAAATTCTGCCGGGCCGCGCCTTTGACCAGTAGTTAAAGGCACCGACAAACCCAGATTCTTGACTTCCACGTTTTGCCCTTATCATGTCCTTGATTCCGAATATGGAGTCGAGAACCCACGAAAACCCCGAATTCCCATTTCGGGGAAGCCATCCAACCACCGGTCCTCCGAAACGGCGATTGAACGGGCGCGCACGAATGGGCGGGCGCCTTACTGATGGAGGGCATGCCGACTTGGGATCCTCATGCCTCTTCGCTATCCCGAATCTATCTCGCTTAAGCGAAATTTTGCGCCGCCACTTGAACTTTGGCTTGGTAGGAGGTCTTACTATCGTAAGCTGCCAAAAGCTTGAAACCCCTAACTCACTTCAAATGAGCTCGAACGGTAAGCAGTAATCGCCGAACGAGATCATCAAAGGTCTCCGAGATAGTATCTATCAGAAAATTTTCAACGTTTCGCCCAGCAATACTTCAAAAAAGAATCAACCTCACAAAAACCCAGCTAAATGTGCATTCTAAGGTTGTGAAAACAGTGGGCTTGCATACAAGTTGTTCAAACTGTGAGCACGTCATGCCGTTATCGTTTAACAAACTGATGCCGACAAGTTGTAACCATGACCAAAACTTTGGCAAAGAAATGAGGTTTATTCGATTCAACGTTATTGTAAGAAAGTTCAGTATAAACACAGGAACAATTAGTAACACAGTTGGACACGCAGTGCGTTCATCAAAACTAAACCATTCTTCAAATCAATGTCACGATGGAGGGGCAGCAGAAAAAATTGCGCAAAAGACCACGACAACGAAGTACCGCAGGGCTCTGCATGATCGCAGGAGTCGGCGTGACTGCGACCATCGCACACGCACTATGCAAGCCCCAAACCAGCTCAAAACCCCCGTACTTTCCAGATCCGTTCTAGATAACTGGAGGCTATGAAGGCCAACACGTGATAGCACAGAATCGTTCGACAGGGCAACGAAAACTTGAGAAGATCGATGTGCAGGCCAATGGCCGCAATTTCATCGACGATCGCGATCATGCAGAGCCCTGTGCCTATGCGACACGTCCAAAAACAGTAAAACGCTAGCTACAAAATAGAATGGATAAAAGGACAAGATTTAACTGCCTAGTCATGAGAAAATGCAAGAAAGGAAAGTACACTTATAAATTCACCTCTGCTGTTGAATTCACCGTTGCGGTTGTCGCTTCTAAGGCTTGATCGCTGCCGCGCATTGGTTTGGGCCTAAAATCTCGAAAGTTGAATGTGAGTTATTGCTTCAAGGAATTCCAACTCTGCTTGAATTCTACACTTAGATCCGATTCAAGAGCATATTGTAAAGCACATGTAAATTTCATATAACAGCAAAAACGTGAAAACAGCTTCACTCACCTTTTCGTAACTGAGACAAGCCGACCTTGCTTTGCTAAGATGCGCAGCATTTCGACGATAGATTTTCATTTCATTTATTACATAGGATGTTCTATGCATGACAGGTAATCACAATAGTCTGACTCTCTCCTATATCTGAAAAGCAGATACCTGTAGATAGCGAAGGAGAGAAGCCATTTTGATGATGGTCAACACAAAATCACAACGGCGGCGTGGCGTTATGGAGCAAAGCTACGCCGCGTTCGCCTGCGGTATATCCTGAGGGCCCTTTGCGTTGTGTCGCTCCTAATTGCACCCGCAGAGGAGCTAGCGTTACCCAGCGGATCGAGTCATGCTCGAAATTCTTCTTCTGTAAAGAGACCAAAGTGCGGAAGTTAAACGAATTTTGAGGACGAAAAAATAGATTCTGAGGAAGAAATGTTTGAAATAAAGGCTTTGAGTCAGTAATGAAATTTTCTGTCCCTTTTCTCTACTAATTCTCGTATTACACTTGAAATCCGTCTTTTATTTCTCAACGAGATTCAGCCTTTGCATCCCTAAAATTCATCTGTTTTTTCGATTTTTGATAACTTTGTTGCATTTATGCTATTTGGACGTCTTCTCAAGCGTATCAATAAGGATTAGCTCAATCCGCTGTCAGTAGCAGTGCACCTCCTGCGGCTGCAATTAAAGGCGATGCAACGCAACTGGCCCTCAGGATATACCGCAGGGGAATGCAGCGCTGCTTTGCTCCATAACGCCTGCCCCCCAATCACAACAACACCAAGCAAACAGAAAAGGGATAGTCAAAGAAGAACAAGGACGTACAAGTCAAGCTTACTACATCCCCTCATCAACCTTATTTCCAATAACAGCTAGTTGTCGATACATTGCATCTATTGACGGGAGAGTAACTTTACCCTCTATGATATTGCAATACAAGACAAAATGATCATCAAGCGCGTACCTCAAAAATTTCTTCTCTCCTCTTTGTGTACTTATCCATCATATTGACAACTGCCATCAAATCCATTGTATCCACCGTCGTTTAAGCCTAGATGGCTGAGAACGCATTCTTTCGATGAGAACAGGACCCGTCATTTGTCCGTGACTTCTTCGGGTATAGTGGAAACTTCGAACGAAAACTCACGTAGGCCACCGAACTCGTATATCTGAAAGAAGACAGGAGAACTTGGACAGAAGTAAGTATGCAGTAGAAAAGACTGACTCGGTGACTGTAAAGAACGTGCTAAAGGCAACAAGCAAGAGAAAAAAGTAAGAAAAGACGAAATAATAAGGCGCCGATTATAGGAGTAAGTGACGCAGTCCGCGCATATCGATTCGAGCGCGCTTTTCTCTCCAGTCAAGAATGCTGATAACGCTGTTTTTGGCTCTAACAAAGAGGAGAGGGGAAGTTTTGAAACCAAAATTTCAATATATACTAATGTTTAGGCGTAGAGTAGATTTATGTAAACATTTTGAAAAAATTATGTGAATTGAGAGTTTTGCCAAGCTCAGCTTGTCATTAGCTTGTCAAATGACAAGCTAATTTGGAAATTAGTTGAGGAAACTTTTCATTCACATAAGTTTTTCATAATATTTCATACTTAGTTACTTAGTCCTACTGCGCATACACACACCAAATTCCGCGCGATTTCGTCGCCTCTGCGTTGCAAATGAGCCATTTTTCCATTTCTTTGGTAGCGGGAAATTTTCAGAAAAAAGTTTGCCACAACCTTCAGTCACATAATTTTTCGATGAAACTCCTATGTCAACTCCTACAGGCTTGTGTCCATGTACCAACCAAGTTTCATACCATACCGTCGTCTGCGCGTTGCAAACGAGTCATTTGAATTCACATCTTCATTTACCAATTTTGCGAAATTCACGGAAAAAATGCTTATTACTCGTTCCGTTCACATAAGTTTTTCATAATTTTTCATAGTTTGTTTCCATTAGCCTCTCTCCGTTAGCATACAAAATTTGGTGCCATAACGTTACGCATACATTGAGAACTAGTCATGTATGCTGTTACAAATAGCATCGCTTGAGCGACGTCGCGGTGCGACAATTAGCGACGGCGCGGTTTGACGCGCGAACTCCAGTTTTCGCCTGTTGAGGCACATAACATGTTAAGATAAGCAGCGAGCATAAACTAACAATTTTTTTCCGGGGCTCCGCCCCGGACCCCCCAAAAACGATTACCCCTTTGCTTTTTTTGCCGAAAACGATTTCCAGCTTGTCATTTGACAAGCTCGTGCCGGGCCCTGACTCGTCCTCGTTGCTTCCGCGAGGCTTCCAGAAAACGGGGTTTTGGGAACTTCGTGCGATTTTAAGCCCATACAGTGCTAGACAGGGTCCGTCAGGCTCGAAAAATGCAAAAATCTCCGCAACTAAATTTTGGTGAAACACTGATTTAATATAGTGTGGTTGCACAGAGGGTAAAATGCGGTAAAATTTGCGCGTGAAGAAGTAGCCTGCCTTGCCTTTAAGTGAAGTGATTGTCGATTTGCTGCGAGCATTACTTATTATACGACAAATAAAAGGCATAAATGCAGAATGCGAGTACTGTTCTTCTTGTGTCTTCTCCCATCATGCTACTGCGCCTGGTATAACCACTATACACAACTCATAGGATCGCTAATAGGATCGCTACAGTCAAGTGCAGCAACAGTGACACTTCGCTGTGACGGTAAACCGTTCACTAATGCGAAAATATCCATGTACGATGCGGAAGTTAGTGAGTCGGATCGGAACTGCAAAATTTTAGCTCAATTCAAACTTGAAATTTAGCTTTCGATGTATGGATGGCTGGACCCGTCAAACCGGACAACTATGGGAGATGTCATCTTGCAGGCTCTAAGCGAGAGATAAGCAGCATAGAACCGTACCTCTATATCAAGCATTGGTGCAAACGAAAGGTAGGCTCGTTTTTTCTTTGCCGATGTATAATTTGATAACTTAGAAGAAACTAATGTTGTTTAGGGCCAGTCTCAGGCCTATGCTGTTGAGATCTGCATAGACATCCCATCATATTGTATAAGCTATGGCTCTGAACCAAAGCAAAGCTGCCATTTCGGATTGGAGCTCACTGAGGTGAACAAGGGACAAAGAACTTGCAAAAGATAGCAGATTCATGAGACATGTGTTCATGTCAGCCACATCCACATAAACAAGTTTCAAAGATGCACTTGTCATAGGAATTATATTTTTCTATTTTTCCTCTTATCATTCCTCTAACCATGGAAGGATACTTGGTGACCGTGTCCTTTCGATACTTATGTATTTATGCATTCAAAAATTAGCTCAACGAATGTATTAGTTCAACAAGGTTGTCTTGCCTTAGGGACAAACAATTAGAATACTAAGCGCCGGTTTTTCGAAAAATCAAACTGTACTAAAATTTATAGCCCACTCGATAAGTAGTAGATGTTATAAGCGAAGAAGGATGAACGGCCATGTTGCAGCCATGGTGTAAATAACCTTTGAGTTATCACTCTCAAGCGAAAAAAGAGAAAGACACGAGCAAATGGTTTTAAGTTGATAAATACTTCTTTTAGCTTTCTCCATCGCTACCATGGAAAAAGGGCAGCAGACAAAAAATGCATTGGTATAGGTCTACAGGCTGTAGGACCTATGAGTGAGGCTCACAGTCCAACTTGAAAAAACGTGTGGATCGGATTTGATTTAGAAGCCAGCTCTTTTACATATCAGCAAACACAAAACAGTTGAATTCAAGTGAAGTGAACTATTGATAAGAAAATTTAACTGTTTTTACAGTATTTCATGTGTAATAAATCAAGTACATTGATTCTACGTACAAAAGCAGACAAAAGCAGCTGCGTTTTCGGCTTGCAGCGTGGTACACGGTTACGTACAAGCTATCGTAAGGCTCCCGCCAGAGTGCCGAAGCCATGCCAGCGCTACGCCAGCGCCGAGCCAGCGTTTCGATCGATACACGTGTATTTCGTTGAAGCGGGGCTACCTGATCTAGTTCTCAGCCAGGACCCCACCCCAACGAAATACACGTGTATCGATCGAAACGCTAGCTCGGCGCTGGCGTAGCGCTGGCGTAGCGCTGGCATGGCTTCGGCACTCTGGCGGGAGCCTAAAGTTACATAATGGAACTTTCGAACACGAAACGAAAACGCTTTTTTTTGAATTTGCGAATAATAAATGCTAAACCACTTCTATTAGTCGGTCTTAAAATCAATATTTACTCGCTTTTAGTCTAAGCTCTTAGCGGATAAGTCAAAAAGCAAAGACAAGATCCAGATATACACGGCTATACTTTAAACTCCATTACTGAGGACTTGAGCCTAGTCTCGTAATTAAGCACTCCAATAAAATTGAAATGTCGTAGACATCTTATACGTGATATTCTCATAGTAAAGATCTGTCGGACCTTCTCCAGTTTTCGTATGTCTTTTTTAAGAAAAGGACTCCAGACAACAATAGTATTTTAGATAACTAGTACATAAGCATTATAAAATCGTTTGAGTATTATAGAATTTTCAATTACACTTTTCGAAAAATAGCATACAACACTGCAAATGCTTTGGTGACTGCATGCTCGACATGATTGTTATTTTTCAATTCAGGATACGAGAACACCCAAGTCCTTGGCAATGGGGCAGTTTTTCAATCTAATTCCATTTATCTCATAAACTGGAAAGTCATATTTCCAAAGTGCATTACAAAGCTTTTTTCTAGGTTCACATTTACGATAGAGAGGGCAGCCCAGTTCATCATTTTTCCTAGAGAAGCTCTTATTGCTGGACCTGTCTTTATTATAGTAATCATAATTCCATATATCTCCATATATTTTTATGTCGTCAGCATATATCTGAATTGTCAGACGTATGCGTGTTCGTAAGATGGATGGAAGTTCAACAGCATATAATAGAAAGAGTAATGGAGAAAGAACTACTCCTTGCCTCCGCAACCTCTCATTTGCGGAGTTTATTCTGTTGCAGGAAGTAAGCTGAGTTTGATTACATTCCGTTCAAAGTAATCGTTAGGCATAGCGATAAGATGTTCACCATAGATGTGTAAAACTTAGAAATGTCCAAAAAGCCCAGAAAATGTACGAAGACCCGGCTTTGGTGGTAGAGTGGTTGTGATGAACAAGGCCCAGCACGGGGTGGCGTTTGAGAATTTTGGAAAAGAAACCCCTTTATAAATTGCAAATACTTACGACCAATTCTCTCGTGGTTTTTGTAGGAGTAAGACTTATAACGTACAACGAACGATGAGTGGATAAAGTTGAAGGAAAACCAAGAAAGTTAGATATAGAATGACAGAAGGCAAAGATTTTTTTGTATTATCAGAAGCAGCAAAGCAGAAGGGACGAAACAGCGCAACCTCAGGCTGCTCTCAGGTTGCGCGGGAGCAACCTATAATAGAAAAACAATTGCAGCTCCTCTCATTCACATAATTTTCTCATATAGTTTCATTTTCTTCTGGTCATCGTCGTGAAGCTAAACAGAAAATTTGATGGCTCAATACCACGGTCATTGTGAACAGATTGATTATTTATCTTTTTACGCATAAAGATCATGTCTTAAACACTCTTTGCGATCGTGTGCACATAAAGGGCCAGGCATACTTCACGCGATTTCAGTAGCGACGTGATTGACAATATTTTAAGCGTCCACAACTCACTGTAAGTGCATTTTCAATGTACAAAAGATAGGGCATTTTATCAATCCACGTAAGTTATACGCACTGTGCATATGCAGTTTGTAGTGTTGGATCTGAAGACTGGCGGATTGCCAAATCGCGTGGCGACTCAAATCGCGTGAAGTATGCTTGGCCGTTAAGCTGTACCGTTAGTGTTCGTAACGTATTGTTTTATACGTTACTGTTAGGCCTTAGAGCCTCAAATTTGGGCTTACTAAGTGTAAGAATTGTGCTTGCTAATATTTGGTCACATTTAGAATCACTCGTGGAACTCACGATTCCCTCTTGCTTTTCTCTGAAAAAACGACATCCAGCATATGAAAGCGGCACCTTTGCTGAGGTCTGGTGATGACTATTGTACTTAACCCCTCTCGAGTAGATATCAATGCTATGATTTAGGTACGATTGAGGTTTAATAATAACAAAATAGTAGCAAGAAGCATAAGCAGACTATTAAACTTTATTTTCATCAAGTGGTATCTGTTCCTTTTTTTCGAAAGCGCACTTTCAACACTGCTCTTTTATTCGAAGACCTGTAGAAAAAATGTAGCATCTTCTTAGTTCCAAAAAGCACAAAGGTCGGTATCAGCAGCTCCGGTGTTGTGCTGAGAATATTATAGAGACTGATGACAAAGTAGAAGTCGCTTTTCTGGGTTAGGAAGACATTCAATATGGCGAAGGATGCGATAAACAACTAAATGAAAAAATCACCAAAATTTACTGAAGCTGAAGCAATGTCTAGGCAAATCTAAAAACCTGAATTTGTGAAGGATAGGGGAAATTTAACTATGCAGTTCCTCAAACGGCGACTCATATGATTCAGTTGTGGACAAGGAAATTTACTCCTAATGCTCGCCCACACCGTACTCTTTCCCTATACACCGATTCAAAGAGCACGGTATGGGCGAGAGTTTGGAATCAAATTTCTCACTCAGAAAAGAATTGTATAAGCTGGTATCTGGGCAACGGCTCAATTTAAGGCTCTCCAGTCAGTATTCGGGTAAGAAACATAGGTATCAGATTTGCCTGAACACTCCTTTGAAATCGAGGGCTTACCAGTTCGGAGAGGGCAAGCAGTGTTACTTGCAAGCACATTTGCTTTTCAGCTCCATCGACTACACTCGATATCCTTGAGCTTGAATGTTTTTTCCTCATCCAGGAATAGATAACGATATGAAGGACCAATGAAAGCACTGGGAAGATTAGGAAGCAGCGTCCGCTTATCTAAAATCACCAAAAATACAAATTTCACATAGGTAGAATAGGAGGAATAAGATAAGCGAAGTATAGAGCTTACCGCATACAATTGTGCATTCCCAACGGAATCAACAAAACCAAGCCATTCAACATAAATTCTGTCCACATCACACGATAAAATAACCATTGCCGTCATACCAACGGCAACGATAAAGGATGCACTTGGAAGAATGACATATTCCCACCTAAACGAGCTTTCTTACCCCTTGCAACTTCAGCTAGAAGAAAGTTTGAGGGTTAGGCTTACCCTGTGAATAGCACTCGCTCCATTCGTTCAGCAATCAGCACACAGAACCGATTCAAGGCGAGAACAAAAATCAATAAAATCGCCATATATCTCGAGAACAGACCAATATAAAGTGATATCTCATTTTGGTAGGTGAAAGTAGTATTGAGCAAAGAAGGCAAGGCTTTGAATACTATGGTGCTCAGTGAATGTAGTAGCAGAGTACACGAAAGGACAATCATAATTCTGAAAAATGAGCTCTGAAAAGGCGCAGAGAAAATTTTATTTGCTTAGTGTCTAACTCGGTTTTACGCGAATACATTTTGGGAAGCTTATTTTAGCCATTTCCCAAGTTGTCAGAAAATTTCCTCTCAAACACCCGCCCAGACCGTATCCTTCACACAATAGTATGGTAGCTGGGCGAGAGTTGCACGCTGACTTTCTCGCTTAGGAATGGATCAAGTGGGCCGAATCAACTTGGTGATGGTTCATATGATTTTCCATTGGCCAAGAAGATTGATTTGAACACAATCCCAGATCCTATCCTTCAACTGACGGTATGGTGATGGGCGAGAGTTACGCGTTGACGCAGTTATTAATAAATAAAAATGAGTTGCCCCTTGGATAATGGCTTAGTCAAAGCCTCTCAACAGTATCCCCTCATAAAAGTTCAATTACCCAAGTTTACACAAAACACCTTTCAAATAGTAAATCCACTCACAGTCAGATGAAACTTGCTTATAGCGATGATAAGCAGCAGATTTAGTAAAAAAGCTAGGCTTGCCACTACCATTTCGCTGATCCGGAGAATTAACGTATTGTAAAGCTCGATTGCCTTCATATCTCTCATATTACATTGTCGACGATTTGTGCAATGTGGAACTGCCAAATCCCGATGAAAAGCACTTTCACTAGATGTGCTATTGCTCAGAAAAAGAAGCGACATTCTCTGAAATGTAATTAGATAATAGGCCCTTGTAGCAGTTCTTCATTCCAATTAGGGATGGCCATACCTTCGATAGTCTAGAGACATGGCGTCAAAAGTGAAGGTTGTTTGAACATCTGACGTCATAAATAGTGAAGGTTGTCCAAAGAAGATCAGAGATGAGAAAATGACGTAAGACGGATACAAAAAGCAAAAGAAATGGCAAATCGGATAAAAACGCTGCAAAAAGGTTTGAAATCTTTCAGTTGGCGGCTTTTAAGGTGCAAGTTTTCGCTCCAGGACCAGCAATTCGCAACACGGGGTTTTGATTTTTGATGCGTCCTTTAGATTTTTACCCCCGCACTGACGTTCCTGTTTCCTGGGACGTTGTCTGGATTGTTGCGCTTATTGTTCTGAGCAACAATCGCCCGAGGTGGAAAAAAATCGCTGCGAAAGCACTGAAACAGAACAAGGTAAAGAAAAACGCACTTTTTACGATTTTTCGCAAAAAATTTTACCATAATCGAAGAAGTAAGGGCTGGGTGGTTGTCTGCATTATGAGCAGAAGCAAGATCTATAGAATGGACGAAAAAACCGCGTGAAAAGAGTTAAACTAGAAGAAAAACAAGAGATTTTCAAAAACAAGGTTTTTGCCGGATTTCTCGATCAAATCAAAGAATGTGGTTCTGGGACGTTGTCAGCGTGAAAATAGAGAACAAGAGCTTCAAAATGATATATAGCTTGCTACAATCGGGTTCGAAACAGCGAAGAAAAGGGTACCAGAGCCAAATGCCCCGCGCCCCGCGTTTGGGGTAGCGAGGCAGCGCGCAGCTCGCGGAGACGCAGACGAGCAGCGGAGACAGACCAGAGCCGACGGGGCATTTGGCTCTGGTCGTAGATCTCTGCGGAGTCTCAACGAAATCCTGCAACATTATATATCATTCTGATCGTCATGACACGGCTAGGAGAACTGACAACGTCCCAAGCTTTGAAAGCCACTCATTAGCGAGATAGACCAGCGTTCTCATGTGCGACCCTCTGCGAAAGATTTAAGCGCAGTTTCTCTTTTAATATAACTTCAACAGCTTTCCTAAACTTCTGATACTCAATATTGGTCAAATGAGAGGTTAACAGAGAAATTTCGTCTTGAATTCTGGCGAAAATTCCACAGAACTTTCCTTTCAACGTAAAAAAGGTTATAAAACGCAAATTCTCGGTGCGTGCGGATATCTAAGCGATGAAACTCATTTCCCAAGCCATCCGCGCGCGAACGTGTCGCGAAGCTTTGACGATTGCATTCACGGAAAAGGGAGCACGTGATTGACCAGGTATAGTCAGGTTGTCCTTGCTCATGTGTGTAATTGCACATTTTCTTGGACTTGCGAATAACGTATTTTCTCAGATTAGGACTTGAGAACGGTTGAACACGTATGAACTAACAAGTTTATACATGTGCTCAACCTCATTTTGGATAAAATACTACGCGAATTTAGGAAAAAAACAAGTTTGAACCTGTCAGTCACACATTTGCAAGGCGTGCACGAATTTCCTAACATTGCTTGAAAAAGCAGTAAAAATGGCTAAAGCTAATGAGAAATAATCAACTCACTCAGAAATGATTGTTCTGTCGTAAATTGTGAATGTGTCATAAAAATCACCTCTATTAACTATACCTAGGTATCAGTGGCGTACCGAGGGGGGGGGGCGGGGGAGGCGCGCGCCCCCCCCCCCCGAGAATGGGTCGCGAAATTTTTGAAAGTTACTTATACGGGTTATAAAAATGTGCAAGTGACTTGTTTATTTTTGTAAATAATTAAAATAATTTTTAAAAATTTTTAAAAATTCAAATAAGCCTTGTAAAAAAAATTTTTTTCGGGGGCGTGGCGTTAGCCACGCCCCCTTTTCCAGATTTTAGGGGTCGAGAACCCGCAAAAGTTTTGAGAAGCATCCCAAAAAAATTTTCGGAGCGTGGCTAACGCCACGCACCTTCTTTAGAAAAAAATTTTTGTCGCGCCCCCCCCCCCCCCGAGCCGAAATCCTGGGTACGCCACTGCTAGGTATTAGTCTTTGGTCAATCACGTGTGCAATGAGGTTGGTAATTGCCAAGTAAGTTACCCGATAATTCCTTCCTGTTCCAATATATCGCTTGCAGCTAAAGATTGGGGAAGTGAAGAGATGTCTAGAATTTCAATAACTGATTGTTTATAGACAATTTCTTCATTTTTCATTTATTGATCTGAAGAGCCATCATCCTACTACAAGGGACAATCTTGGTCCTGATCAGTTCCAACTAGAACCCTATGTATTAATTATGAATTTGATTTCGGAGACGAATGAGCATATTTACATAAAGAGTTCAATTTGAGATAAATCGTAATCAGTCAAAAAATCAAGAATCCTTTTCATTCTCGCCTAACCACAGCCAAATATATTACCATCAAAACACAACGCATTTCGCAAATATTAGGTTGTCCCAAAAGTTCTTGCGCCAGATTTTCAAAAAATCATAACTTCCCTGCCACTCAATGGATTTTCTTGAGTTCAAATTCATTTAAAAGAGGAAACCTTTCTCTGTACAGCAGTTTCTTTGCCATGAATTGGTATTAGAAAATTCCAGAGTTAGAGGCAATTGAACGAAATCAGTCAAGATTGGCATTTTTCAAGCTGGATCACGAAAAATTCTGGAAGTATTTTTATTTGATAGAGAAAATTCTGCACATTACAGTGCTACCTTTTTCATGAATTAAAACCGAGTAGATCGAGAGTTAGAAGCAAATAAAGAGAATTTCTTCATTTTTGCAATTTTAGAGCATGCTCAAAAAAGCTTGAAAACGTCACAGAAAAAGCGAAAAAGTCATAAACATGGGTTTTGCGATTTTCCCTTTTTAGCTGAGTGAGTTTCGAGCTGATCGAGAGCAATTTTGATTTTCGTGATTTTTTTTTCAATTTTGATTTTTTCGGATTTTCGGGTCTGCGTTTTTCACGAAAATCAAAATTGCTCTCGATCAGCTCGAAACTCACTCAGCTAAAAAGGGAAAATCGCAAAACCCATGTTTATGACTTTTTCGCTTTTTCTGTGACGTTTTCAAGCTTTTTTGAGCATGCTCTAAAATTGCAAAAATGAAGAAATTCTCTTTATTTGCTTCTAACTCTCGATCTACTCGGTTTTAATTCATGAAAAAGGTAGCACTGTAATGTGCAGAATTTTCTCTATCAAATAAAAATACTTCCAGAATTTTTCGTGATCCAGCTTGAAAAATGCCAATCTTGACTGATTTCGTTCAATTGCCTCTAACTCTGGAATTTTCTAATACCAATTCATGGCAAAGAAACTGCTGTACAGAGAAAGGTCTCCTCTTTTAAATGAATTTGAACTCAAGAAAATCCATTGAGTGGCAGGGAAGTTATGATTTTTTGAAATCAGGCGCAAGAACTTTTGGGACAACCTAATATATGCGGAAGCCTTGAATACCAAAAATCTCGCTTTTTCTGTTTTCCACTAGTTTTCTTCTCCTTTTCCCTTTCCTTTGTGCTACTCAGAGTTTTGCCAGTTGCTGCAATGAAGTCATACCGCTTTCAAATCTCAAAATAATCATCGGCTGCAAGATGCTGAATCTAAACTAGTTTTTAACGAAGAAAAAATACGGGAGCTTGTGTGCACAGAAACTGAGCTCGTTTTTCTTCTTTTTTTGGCAACCATGGTAAGGCGCAAGCTAAGATGAGACTGTCAGATCATAGCACGAGCCACATGTACAATCAAATAACGTTTTTGGCAATAAACCAAAAGAGGTAAGAAGGTAGAAATTTGGACCTTTACCTCCTTCGTGTAGGTCAGCCGATGATAAAGTTAATTCTTCAGTCCTCTCGAATTACGCTGGTAATTATTCTTCGCTTTTAAAGGGTAAGAGGTATGGTTGAAAAAGGAGCTTTGAACTATTGATCTCACTCTGAACACATTTGGCCACTGTCTCTTCTCCCTCTTCCCTTCCCCTTCCCTAATTAAACTCTTTAGATTCTGAAAAGAAGGTGCTATATAAGTCCAATGGTCAGCTATCGCTAAACGCTTTGATCTTTCGTTTCAGATGTTTGTTTATGTGACACGCAGCCGAGTTTTTTACATATGTCGAGGACATAATCAGAAACGTGTACCGTTTGCATCATATAAGGGGCGGGCCTGTTCATCATAGCGGCACGCCTTTGATTGGTCAGTACGCTGGCTCGATTGGCCGCGTCTTAAATAGGGCGGAGTAAGAGCCGACTTGTGCGATAAAGCATGCTCGTCCATTTTTGTACACCTATCGCATCCAACGTATTACACATTAGGAGGACACTAGGTCGCCTAAACGGAAGGTCCCGCGCGGACATCTGTTACAAATGGACACTTGTGTACACCATGGCTCGTGTTAGCTGTCCGCGAAGGTGGAGCCTATTGGCGACCTAATGTCCTCTAGCCCCCATGGCGCGTGTCCATCGACAAGTATGTAACTCGTCCATTCAACGACGCCGCACGCGGCAAAGGGGTATCACGTGCGAAGGGTTTACGAAGGGTTTAAGAGTGCCTACACCCCAAATAAGGAGCAAATTCATAAAGCCATGATGCATGTTGTTTTGCGAAGAAAAATGGTAGTACATTAAGTAAATAAGCCTTATTACGTTGACCACAGGTACAAGACGACACATTTTCGAGCGGATTTTACTATAAGCAAGCCTTGGTGGGTTCTTCCGACTGCCTCGTCCTCAGGGACGCCCGCACTCCCCGCTTGACCCTCATTCATGTCCCATGATAAATGTCCAGCAGCAGCTGTGTGTTGCTGATGTCGGAGATGGTGCTGTGAGCTGGAGGCGAACGTTTGTTGACTCTGTCCACGCATTGTTCTCCGAAGCATCGAGTGAAGTGCGAAGTCAAATAGCGCCGAAAATGAAGCGAGAGCGGCTCGCTAGCCAGCGCTGGACACCCGGCCGGCCGGATTGCTGCGGTCAACTGGCCACGCCCAAAAAATCCGTTAGATCCACGCTTCTTCCAAGCAGTGTCTCCTTTTGAACATTTGGTTCATCCTAGTTAAGCAGATTAGAGATTGTCTTAGTTTTATTTTGTGTGCTAAACGATGTTCGTTACCTAATCCCTACTTATTTTTGACAACAAAACGTTATATGTTTGTTTACCCATTTGCTAACCCTAGGTGGGCATCATTAGGGCGCTCTAACGCTGATAAGAAATTAAATGATATTCGATGCCAAAAAATTCTGTAAAATTCGTTGAAAATATGTGTACCAATTAATGCATAATTTTAGCCCAAAATTTAGTGAGTAAATTTAAAATTGGGAGGCAGTTTCCAGATAAATTTGGGTCCTAAAATTCTTATATGAATACCGATTGAAGAACATTTCCAAGCCACTGCTCGAAGGCAGCTCGTACAGTTCATTCGTGTCCGAGAACTGCAACACCAAACTCTTGACCAGTACCGTACTCGATGGCGATGATTGGTCGACTCGTAAGGAATACGGTATTAGGCCGGGTTGCAGAGTTGTATTTCTTGGTTATGTATGAACACGTCGATTGCCGTTTGGGCAGCTTATTCAGCACTTTCTAAACATACTCCTTGTTTAACGAAGACACTAACTCCCAAAAAATTGTTAGCTAGTATATTATTCCATTTTAAATTTGAGTTCAAAGCGTTTTTGTACTTGTGCTCCTTTTTGGCCGCTGATAACCTCAAAATAGCCACTTTCTCTACCTTTTTTTACCTATTTTACACATTTTTACTTTGAAATTTATCATAATAATTCGTAAACTCATTGTGTCTTCTCGCTTTTCTATAAGGCACGTGCCAAATTTTTTCCTACTTACAGCTGGCTCTACGAAGAGCACTTTAGGTTACGTTAAGCACGTTTGTCTATTGCTGAGAGGTCACTGTTTGTTCAATGGACGACCAAAAGAAGAACAAAGTAGGATTAAATTGAGATGAGGGGATAAAGCAGTCTGAGATGGGAAAAAGTTAGGGGAAGCAAAATCGGGGGGCTCATCGGTGCTGTCATCGATTAGTTCGTCTAAATCCACAGAATTTACAAATCCGCTAGATACATTAGGAAAACGTCAAATGGACAATGAAAGTGACGGAAATTCGAGAGACAGGCGTTTTGTCCATTTTTACTTATACGAAGGGTACAGTTAAGGATTCTTGAAAGATTCCTGGCGCGAACAAAATGTTCCCTCTTCAGTGCAGCACCTCACAGATATCTCTGAAGAAAAAAATCATGGCAATACTAAATTCAGGCATTTATCTCTTTTTTGCAATATTTGGAAATTTTCTCAGCCATCCGTGAGGCGCTGACCCCTGCGAAGTGGACTCAGCACACAGTGCTACTATCGCTTTGTCTGAATCTCATGCGCTATGTTTGCAAAATGAAAAGGGGACATATGGACACCTCCAAAGAGCCCAAAGGTACACAAACTTATTTCTCTCCTTTATCTCTGGGACTCATGTGAGATTTAGGTTATCGTAAGACGCGTTGTTTACTTTTTATTTATACGAGTAGAAGCTAAACGTATCGTCGAGTCATTTGTAGCTTAATATGTCCATTGCACACCAGGCGCGCTACTCCACGACTTATAAGCAAAATTTTGCAATTTTATAGAAATTCTCCTTGTTTTCATCTCTATTCTGATTTGACTGTATATGTACTATTTAGTAATGCACATTTCTACACTTTGTTATGTTAAACAAGATTTCACTGAGCTATTACTAGTTAGGGTTGTCGCCAGTTATCGCGCGCAGTGTGCAGGCTCACAAATTCGTTACATATTATGTACTCGCGCTTGAAGAAATAAATAGTATTTTTTGTTGTTTTGAATTTCTAGAAAAGTACACAAGGTTAAATTTGCTGATAAGTACGATCCTTGAATTATAGCCAGAAATTCTTGAAAAAAAAAGAAGAAAATCGTTCCTAATCAATAGTCTATATTTATCTTGCGAAAATTGGGAACAATGTTTATAAAATAATTTATTCACATTTTAATGGACCTGAACATTGTTTCTTTACCCTGCATCCTTCACAAAAATTGTCCTTTTTTTCCAAGCCGTTCTATACTTATACATCATTACAATTGCAAAATCATGGTCATTGTGTGTATTTGCGGACTTGCGACAAAACGCGTCGTCTTAGTCGTTCCATCATGTAAAACGTATGTTATTTTGATGACAAGTGTGTGTGTGTTTCGTCTATTTACTCTGTCCAAACACATTTAAAGGATTGTTGGTGTCTATATTTACGGACATTTGTTCAGCAGCTGCGCCAGCTCTTCAGGGCGGTCAAGCGTCGACCGAGTGACTCAACCGCACCCAGAAACAAATCCGCTCCGCTGACCGGTTCTCCTCCATCCCTGAATTATCCGTTCAAGGGTTTCTTCTACACCTCTTCCACTATATAGGTTGGTCCTGCAGCGGGACCTGTCCCTTACAGTCAACAAGTCGTGGGCCTTCTGGGGATTTCTCCCGAGATCACAGCTAATGCTAATTTTTGCCGTCGCATCGCTATTACACATTAGTGTTCATGGTCTCGCTACCGTACCCGTTCCCAGCAGCGATGCCCAAATTGTGAAGAAATTATTTGACGGTATTTCCTATTTTAGCTAATTATTTACCCTCTTACATCGTTATTATTTCTTCCAGATTATTCCGAAAAATTTCTGTCACCTGAAGACTTTGCATATGCTGCTGAAAAACCAGGTTCGTTGATTTCCCTCAAACTCAATCCAGTCTCATCCTACAATTCCAGTCGATATCCCCACCGAAGCCGAGTTGGACGCTGTCCAAAACTCCCAGCTTTTCGAGGGGGACATTGTTGGCATGCCATCAGAAGAAGAACAAGCTCTCAGACGATTTCGGGATGAACCCCACGTAGATGAGGCTGCAATTTTTGGAAGACCGGTAGCTATAAAAATCTTGAGACTTCCCATATTTGATTTTTTTTCCAGTACCACAGCGCTTTAAACTTGGTTACATATCCAGAAAAACTATGGAACGATGCGCAAGTGCCATATATACTAGAGGAGGGAATGACAACTGAGTAAGTGTTACTTGTTTTATCGACATATAATTCGACTGAGACAGGATTTTAAAGTCCAAAGTTTGTTTGGAATGAATTTTACAGTTTCGTTGCCTTTGAGTCGTAAAGTCCGCCCATTTTCACGACTCGGAGGCACTGAAACAGCTCTAGCGCGTACTGCAGCCGTAAAGATGGCGTTGCGAAGCAGTCAGCAGAAGATTCATGTCAAAATATGTTGTGCGTAGATTCTTTGGAAACATTTACCACCTTGAAATTTTTGTTCCTTAGCCCTCGCGTTCAATGAAACTTTCCTATTGATTTAATGGAAGGCTTTCCCAAAGCTGAACTTCTGCACGCCCTTTGTTTACCACAGCGTTTTTCTCTCCAGCACAGCGGCTACATTTTGTTTACCATAGGGGCCATCTAGTGCGCGCATTCAGCCGATGAGTTCGCGATTCCCCGATAATACCATTGTCCAGTGTTTGGGGAACAAGCTGTGTATCTGTTTTTGTGTGGAAATGGGCGTGTCTGCCACTATGGAAAAAACCTACGTAACGTCCGTTTGTGTGTGGAAGTGGGCGTGTCTGCCAGAAAAAAAGAACAACTCATGTCATAATAATTTAGCCAACGAGCTGCTATTGCTCAAGCTTTTGACGAGTACAAGGACAAAACATGCATTCGGTTTGTACCTCGAACCGAAGACGACTTCGATTATATTTACATCAAAAGAAATCTTGCATTCGGGTACGAGATTCTGCGCTATCAAGCGTTCTTTCAAGTACATTCGAACTATCAGGTGTTCTTCATACGTTGGTCGAGCTGGAGGTAATCAGACGGTTTCGCTGGAAGTCGATAAATGTTTCTCAAAAGTGAGTTGCAGAGGGTAGAGAAATCAGATTTTCCCGGAGATAGATAGGGTCAAAAATAGAAGTTCAGGGTATCATCGCTCATGAATTGATGCATGCGCTTGGATTTTTTCACGAACATTCCCGAACAGATCGTGATCAGTATGTGGATATAAACGAAGATAATATTAGGCCAGGTGAGAAGGAAATTGAACCTATCTACTATAGGCGAGTTATCGCGCGCAGAAACAGGACGCAATTGCAGACCTGTCGGCGTCTCTCAAACCATGCGCATTTTCTTTCCTCTTGCCGTCTGCTATCTCTTTCAAGCACGAACTATCTCTTTCGGAAGCAGTTGCGTCCTCTGCGCGCGATGGCAATCTGTACTTTGTCTAATTTTTGGGGCGAAATTATTCAGAATTGTTTATTCATACTTCTGGATGCAATACATGTCCCACTAAAAATTACCATACTCCAGGAATGATTAGAAATTTCGAGAAATACCCTCGAAAGATTATCGATCCGCTAGGAATGCCATACGATTACGACTCAGTCATGCATTATCACAAACTTGCATTTTCACGAAATGGTAAACCCACTATAGTGCCAAAAGATCGTAATGCCGAAGTTGGGCAACGATATAAGCTTAGTACAATTGACGCAAAAAAGGTGAGCTGGTCATGGGATTGACCTCTCCGACATTTTCATCGAAGTTGCCTCTTAGGTAAATAAACTTTACCGATGCGGAGAAGAGACGAAAACCACCGAGGCAACCACCACCTCTACTACTGAAGAATTAACTACAGTAACTACCACTACGACAGAATCCACGACAAGTAAGAAGGAAAGGTTCACGAGACCGGGCCGAGAAAGGGTCAGTCACTGCTATTTTAGACGATTAAAACTGGTGTAGGCGTGTAGGCAACTAGCATTTAAGCGCACGCCCTTGATCCACTTAGTCCGCTTGATTTACTTTATCTAATTCGCTATTGGTCAAATCGTAAACTGACCAATAAAAATGGATCAAGCGGATAAAGTGGACTCCGTTTCGCTATTGGTCAGTTCATTCATTTGACCAGTGGATCTTATGGGGCGTGCCTGTCTTGCAAGCACAATTTTGGTTATGCTTAGAAAAGCTGGCGGCTCTTGGTTTTTTCCTTCTGGGTTTGTGATTGCAAAGTGTGAAAAGCGTGCATCAAAAATAACAATGTTTTTGATCTCGAATTAGCGAAATCCTCCCCTTTTTCCATGTTTTTCTAAGCTGTATTTTCATTCATAATTTTTTTTCTCAAAAATTCGAATCCAAATTTTCTCTAGTAGATCTGGACTTCCGCACTTCTGTGAGTTTCCATAATTTTTCAAGCATATACTGGCAAAAATAGATACCTGACTTTTTTCAAAAGAAAGAAAATGCTCGCGCATTCTCGGATCTATTTTGCCCTTCAAAATGTGACCGCGCCTTCGCTTTGTGAACAATTCAATTTCCAAATTTCTGCGATTTGCAACAGCCAAAAATAATTTTGGAGTCAAGGACTAAAATTTTTTCGAGTCAAGGGGCTTTTCATTATTATACACGCCTTTCGGAAGAATCATGATACTTTTTGGAATAAATTTTTACAGTCACTCGTGTGACTTTGTGACTCTCAACTTCCAACAAAATCTGGGCGGAGCAAAAGAATTTACTCTGATAGACCTTCCCATGTACGGAAAAAATATCATTTCGTAGCCAGTTTCAAGAACGTCTCTTGAACAAGAATCCTTAGCCACGCCATTTTTGAAACATTGTTTTACAAAGAATTCTACTCAAGCTGTTGTTCTAAAGAAAAATGAAAGTAGCGGCAGCCATACCTGTAGGAAATTTTTCTGTACAATTATTTCTGCAGTTTGAAGATTATGCAAAATTCAAAAATATCTACTATCATTTAAAGCAAATTTACGATTACCCCTCTTAGCTCTTTCTTTTCTCATTTTTCCTTTTGTTGCCTTTGTCACATGTGTCTTTTTAAGTTCACCGAACATTATGAAGTTCTTTTGCGAATATTTTAAGACTCCAGCAGTATTCGAAATTTTTTGATTGTTTGTCTTAAAGTCCGAACTTTCCGAAGTTATTCAGAAAATCGAAAAAAAAGATGATGGCATTATTTCATTTTCAGTTATCTTACTAAATAATAACCCGACATTTTTGAATTTGGATTATACTCTAATCCTCAATTATCCTCCATTTTATTCAATTGCAGGTTACCAAGACCAAGAAGCCCAAGCCAGTCTGGACAAGAAGACCTACCACAACAAAAGCACCAAAAACCACGGAATCCCCTATGAGGGTCAAAAAGAGTAATTACAACTCGTCCATTTGATAATGAGTTTAAATATGCGGTTTAGGGTGCGAAGATCTCAATGCTCATTGCGGAATGTGGGAACAACTTGGACACTGTCAACATTCGACAAAGTATATGAAACATTACTGTAGAAAATCATGTGGGTTCTGCGACGAAGATACTTCAGGTAAAAAATTATTTGTGGTTTTACCATCTCATAAATTGACTATTCCAGCAACTACAAAAAAGCCGCAAGTCAAGGAGAAAGAAAAGGAAAAGGGAAGACCATCTGTGGATAAAGACAAAAACACAGAAAAGGAAAAAGTACCTGGTAAGGGGAAGACGTGCAAAGATAAAAACCTATTCTGTGGTTATTGGGCAAAAATCGGGGAGTGCAAAAGTGAAAGCAAATTTATGAAAATTTTCTGCAAAGCTTCTTGTGGACGATGCTAACAGCTTGTTTCCTCGCAATGTCTGATGGTCTGTAAAATTATTTTCTCAACTTTACTAATTCTCCATAGGTGAATTGGTTTCTCCTTTTCATTTGTGAGTTGTATTGTTTTGTTTTGGTGTTAGCATTTTATCTTGGTGAGGAAATGATTGGCTCAAAGTCATTCTGATTACCCCGCCAGGATAAAAGGTGAAATCGGTGACTTACCGGGTTCGTCTCGTCTTTCGTAGCGACAATGTCGCCGGTGCTAAAAATTCTCGGCGCTACTACGAAGTCCGTCAAAAATGTAAAATCTCTTATCTTGAAAATCGATATAATTCAGGCAGACTGAAATACCCAGGTGGGACACTCTGTGAGGTTACGGTAGCTGTAAGACGGGGGGGGGGGGGAGACGGCGGGAGGGGCAAGATCGAGAAATCATCGATTCCCTATAGAGGGGACGGCCGCTTTCTACGACAGCATGTTTCAGCTCTTGCATTGTTTGCCCGGGGGGGGGGATGGAGGTTGAAAGAGAAGGAAGGGTTGAGGAAGAGGAGAGAGGACGTAAGTCTGTATAGAGGACGTCTATAGCAGTCGGCTCAACCAACCTTTTTTGCTTGTACCTGGAGTAATCCGACGCACTGATCCCGAAAATTACTTCAGAGAGTGCGAAAATGTCGAAAACCAGCATTTCCCAAAGCCGCTCAGTTTGAATTCGGACGAGGAGAACAGCTCCCGCCAAGGTTGGAGACGCAGAGTCGTTCCGGGACCTTCACGGCTATGACATTGCGGCATGCCGCCACTGACAGCGGGAGGGAGGGCAGCATGCCGTGCGCTCAGACTTGCTCAGTTTTCATGCATGGGGTGTAAGTGTTCTACCATATTAGTTCTCCGAGATCTTCAGTTTCGCTGAGCCACTGCTATTGAGTCGTCGGAAGGACAGGCCTCACGCGGACATCTGCAACAAATATGCTTCTCTACACATGAATATGTAGGTGCAGCTCGCGCCTTTCCGAGAAGGGTGGAGCCTAGGGTTGCATATCATTCTCCAAAAGGAGAGCCTCAGCGTTTTGGCGGCTGCCCTGCTGCTTTGAAATGCAGGACAACATTACGGTAGTGCAAAATGAACCTCTTGAGATCATTTCCTAATATACAGCAGGTCGAACATGACTGCCTTCTTTATTCACACTTCAAGCTTTTTCTATTTGGGAGGTGAGTAGAAAGCTGGTACAGGGAGTGCACTGTCGGACTAAGGATTTTAGATTTTTGGCGCAGACTTCGTATGTCTGTTGTTCTTTCACATTTCGCACTTTCATAATTTCGTCTTTCTGTTTTGTGTCCTTGTATGAAGTTGTCAATAAAAAATTTCATTGCTTTATTACTGAACTTTGTCATGTTTTATATGTTCCTTATCTGTTTATCTGATTCTCGCAGCGAGACGCGCAGAAATGTAGTATCTTAGTTTTACAGGTACAAGACGCATATAATGGCTGACGTACGTTGACGTAGCCGTAGGCGTAGTTGTCGCCTTGGTAGGAGTATCTGCAGGTGTGGACAATACACTAGCCTGGCAGATTTATTGAGTCAGACGACTTGTCCGCATTGGGACAGTGGTAGAATGCTGAGGATAACAGGCGGAGCAAAGTAACTTGGCATGCATCTGGGCAATCAACACACTCATATCACAGCAGGTCATGCTTATGGCATGACCTTTAAGGCAATCTGGCATAAGAAGGCTTAGGCTAAAAAGAGAGGTGCCGATTACATCGGCACAACGCACTATTTTTTTCCTATAAACTTGGTCAGCTCGAACATGCCAAAAAAATTGTTGACCAAAAAAACCCTTCTGCATGAAAATTGTGAGAAGATGGGTCGTTCCGTGAGGCATAGCGAGCTCCCATTAAGAAAAAATGGCGGATCTGCCAACCGTCATCAACCTGAGTTTTTTTTTATGTAGATTGACAGGTAAGTACAATTGAACAACACAAAGTAACGGTCATCTATGTACTGAAGATCATAGGATATATCACAGCGACAGCCACATAACGGAACGTAGGAGTAAGGGCGCATTCTGTATAACATTTATTTGTATTTTAACTAGTGCGATAACGGCATGCGGTGTGCAATTCAGGCTACAGGAATCAATGCGAGTCGTCAAATTTATCCGCTAATCTCTATTGCTTAGTACGCGGTAAAGCATATGATAGGGCTTGGGTAACAAGAAACTGTATTTTCGCAAAACAAATATGGCACCGCGTCTGTCTTCTTTGTTAACAACCTTACAACTTGCACTATGAACACCGCATCTGTCTTCTTTGTTAACAACCGTACAACTTGCACTATGAATTGTGCGCGCATGAGTACACTGGAGGAACGGGAAGGCCACTTTGCAACTAGGATCAAGAAGTGCATGGATGAGATGCGCAAGTCAAAACTACCAACACTCCCTGTATATCGGGAGCCGCAGCGTTACGGTACAGAATTTGATGTTTCGGCATCAAGTCTGTCACGAGAAGCAAAGGTTGCTGCTTGCAAGGCACTAAAAGCGTATTGGATTTAGTATAAGGATAACCTAGTCCGGTATAGATTATGATGTTGGTTGCCGATATACTTTGAGTGCAACATTCTCACAACATTTAGGTCGTGAACCGACTAGTAGCAAGCACTCTATACGAAGGTGGCCGTGGTGAACAATGTTGTAAGCGAAAGCACGACTGCCAGTAATGTCAAGTCACTAAAAATGCGGTGTTGCTGGATTATTGCAATCAGTAAAACAACTCTAGCCTTCTATGTGGAAGGCAAGTTCATTTGAATAGTTTTATTTCCATGGACCAAACGCCTGCTGCAACGCCTGCTGCAACGCCTGCTGTAACGCCTGCTGCAACGCCTATTACTACGCCTACGCGTACCAACTCCCAAGGGACAAGATCATTCTTTGAAGGAGTGGCAAAGATTCCGTTGCTTGTCCGTCTTACAGTACTCTTGTACATATTCTTCTTCATCTTTATTGCTCTAGTACTCCGTAAGTGATCGACACTACCGATTTTAACCGCCAACAATCGAATGCTTTCAGCGGTGTTATGCCGAACAGATATGGCGAAGAAGTGCGGAGGAAAAATGACAAATCGTGAAGCCTTCTATCTTCTCTTCCATTTAAACGAATTGCGCAGAAATGTAGCAAGAGGCAAAACAAGGAAAGCGTCAGGAGAAGGATTTATGCCAACTGCAGCGGCCATGTACAAAATTGTCAGTCTCCAATTATAAACGTTCTTAGTAAAGGCGCAGAGAATGCTTAGATTTGTGACCATCCGAAGTTTCCGCGGAACGATTTTTTACGTTTGGACAGAATTGCAGATCTTGCATGTACAGTTATGAGTGATAGTGATAATCATAGATTTTTGAGTCACTCCAGGTCTTATACCTCGAATTGCCGTTGGCAATACATCACTTGGTCCCTTGAGCTTGAAGAACTTGGCAGGATCATGCCCATTTTCTGCAATCAAAGTTGAAGACAGACTTGCTGATGAATCGTTCACGCTTGGCTGCCCGCAATTTGCGCTATCTCCATCCTCAAACCGCGGCCTTCTTGCATTCCTTAGCGCGGTTTCACTCAAATTTGGGCAGCAATGGTAGTTCACAACAAACTCTATCGATTCAATTGTTGTGGACGTAGATCCGCACTTCGTTCGTCCTATCCGTTAAATCACAAAATATATCGCCAACTATTCATATTGTAACGTAAAGGATACGTCCTACACTTGGAGCAAGTAGAACCGGTCAGATCAGTAGGGCTCCGTAATACTAGAACCTCCGAGCTACTTCAGCCAAGTGTGTCTGTCGCACGGTCTACCTCGAGTGCGGCTGTTAGCTTTCAGTGGCGTGAATCATTCTGGGTTAACAGTAATAGGCTGCTCATTCAAAAGTGATAATACATGCTTTTCATCAGTGCTCTTGTGAGAGACTAACTTTTGTAAAGAGCGACCGCTCTTTATATGCGGTGAAGAGCAAGGCAGCGCGGATTGTCGTTTTAGAATCTGTGACGGTCGCGAATTTCTCTGAGGGTAATGTTCAGCATTTGTCCTCGCTACCGTATTGACGGACGACTTGCATCGGCCCGCAGCTTTTGTGCAGAAAGCAGTCTGAGGGTCGTGGGTCACCGCGCAATAGCATCAAGCCAATGCAAATTGCCCACCAAATAAGTTACTCTGATGAATGCCAGTAGACATTGTCGATGACACAAGCAACGCTGTGTCATCGACAATGTCTTAGGCCCTAAAAGTTCCCATGTGCGATCTTCATGTGTCCCTGCCCGAGCTATCCTCGAAGAAGTCGCGCAGTTTGTTGAGGTCATCATTCAAGCAGCTTTTCTTTGGCTGCTGTTAAAGGCAGCGGCTAGGCAGACTTTCAGCTTCGGGGTTTTGGCAGATTTGGGGCTATTCCGGCCCCCCTAAATTACGACAGAACTCCCCCTAGCGTGAAAATGGAGCAAACCCCCTCTTTTGAAACCATCCCTGAGACGGGCGCGGACGAGGAGCCGTTTTTTTCTGCCGTCAGAGACGCAGAGTAAGGAGGTAGAGAGCGCTAGAGCAATTCTCCCCTACGAAGCTACGAGTGACGGCGCCTTTTCTAGCGGAGAACATACTCGTCCGAATAAGGTGTTAGGGGAGCGAAAGGAGGAAGGGGAGCGACGGTTGGGCCGCCCCTCTCTTGAGGGTTCATATTTTCGGCGCGGAGTTGCCGTTTTGGTTCACTTGGAGGCCTCCTATCCATCTGTGTCAAAATCTGAGGTAGGTTCATTTTGCCGAGACCTGCCTTTAATCCGACTAAAAAACTATCAGCGCATTTAAGATGTTGAATTGACTGCATATATTCAAATGGTTCATAATTGAAAATTGAGGAAGAGTTTGTGTTTTACATAAATACAATTTGCGGACACTCCTTCCGCGTTGAAACTGAATAATCAACCCATAGAAAGAGAAAGCGTAATAGAAGTGGAATTTTTCAAAAATTAAATCTTTCAGACGAATATAACTGATGATTTCTGCCTAACGCAAATCTAAAATATAAGTAATCCCAACTTTTAGCAATGGAGTTGTAAACTGCAAAAAAGTGCGCAAAAACATGCTGAAGAGAAGTCAGACTTCGAGCAAGCAAACTCTGGCAAGGGACTATATGAGTATATGGACGCCTCAACTAAGTCAACTAAAGAAGTGATCAAGGTATAGAAAGCCAAAAATTCAAGTATGATTTCGAATCACTGAAGGCTGCATTTGACGTAGCAAAGGCCAAGCTCACCGATCCAAGTTCCCTTCGAGATGCGGAGAAGCAGGTGGATGAGCATCGTCTGTCGGAAACTCGAACTATTCTAATCTTAAAATTCTTCAGCTTTTGACCGATACTTTCACTCATGTTGGATGTGAGTTTTCCAAGAAAGAAGGCAATCAAAAGCTTATTTGTATTTTTGGCAGCATGTAAGTCTCTTTTGAGAATCTGACTAAAGCACTTGCCGATCCAATAATTTTAGGCTTGAAGAGAAGAGCGATAGTGAGCCATACAAGCAAGGAAAGCCGGGCTCGGAGTGCCGAACAACTTCGTTTGAGCCTTTCATGCCTTTATGTATTTACAAAGGCAGTAGCAAAAAATGAGGAGCAATGAAGCAAAGAAATCAAACAGTAGTTAAACTCAAAAATGTCCAATCATAGTCATAAAAACATCTCTGCTGTTCCATTACGCTACCACTGACTAATGCTTGATATAAAATCCCATAAGTATTCTTTAAAAATCTGTAGAAGTTTTTGGTGAATGAATAATTATTTCGAGGTGTGCTCATCTTCAGCCTTTGTTCCATAGCCTGCCTGGCATACCATAGTCATAATCAGAGTTGAGCAAAAAGTCAGGCATAAGTTTTCCAAAAAGGCCCTCCTTTTTTCATTCTCTTTACTCCCGGAACAGGGCCCGGCACAGGTCATCTGAAAGCAGGCTGGACTTCGTTTTTGGAGCAAAAGCAAAGGAAATATCGTTTTTGATATGTCGGGACCGAGTACCCAGAATAAGCGCCATTTAGTCGAACACAAGCTTTTCAGACAGGTTATCACACGATTGACATGCTCTATCGTGTAAGGCGAAAAGTGCGCGCGATTTGAAAGCAAGGCTAAATTAAACAAATTGCTTGTTTACAGCGCACACAGAATCATATGACACCAAAACTGAACTGCATACATAGAAAATAATTTGCGGAAGAGTCATGTAAAAAGATTTGAAAACTTATGTAAAGAAATACCTTTTGCAAAATTAGTCCGTCATCAGACGGCCACCAGACGATCTGAGGCTGGAGCATATTTTTCTGTCGATTCACATAAGTTTTGGATTATTCTATCATGAACGGATTTCCCGGTCAAAAATCTATCCCTGAGCATCAAGACATTTTCATATTATTGCCTTTCCTTTGTTTTTTGCTCTGATTTCTTCATAAATCGCTCTGTTAAATATCGCGCTCCAATGCCAAACTCTTGTACATGCGTTGTATTCAGCTCCAATTTGGATTTTCACTCCTATCTTACGTTTTTTCTTTCAGACTAGTGGCTCTTTCTTGTTTTCATCTTCTCCTAAGCAGTTAGGTCAAAGGAGACTTCGTAAAACTTCCGAAAGTCAGGAGAGACTTCGTTTTCAGAAACCTTAGAAACCGACTCGTGCCAGGCCCTGTTCCGGAACCTCAGAAGAGGGTACTTGAAATTTGAGGTTTGTACTCCCGATTTTCTGTGATTGCACTTTAAAAAAACGCATAATTTTACGGCGATTTTGGTCTGAACAGACCTATTGAAAGAGCGGTATTTCCTCACGGGTGAGGTGTTTATCTCCAACTTTTCCTGTAGTAAGAAGATCAGCTTAATGCTTATATCAAGACGGAAGCAACTTCTTAATTTTGAAGGCAAGTCAAGGAGTCCAGGCACAAGTTTACAAAGCACTGGCAGCCTGATATTTTGAGGGGTGCCTGAGCTCACTAACTTTATGTCTGAAGGAGCTTTTTTGCCGAAGTTTTATGTGGTTCACTAGAGCAAACCTCGAAGATTCTATAATAGGTGTTTGAGCTTAATTCGCTTGTTTCGACTATGTGGTGTTCCTTCGAGTTGGAATCTTATATATAAAGCTGAATGTCTGTTTGTATGTCTGTCTGTCTGTATGTCTGTCTGTCTGTACGTATGTTCCGAATAGAAAATTCCATTTCTGAACCGATCCGGACCAAACTTGGCACACATACACTACGGGCCCCGGCGGGTGTCATAGGCTACTTTTCGTCATCGATCGATATCGATTTTATCGATTTTTATCGATTTTTTTGCTGAGTTCACCTACGGGGCTGGGATTTGGCACAGGGGGGTAATCGAGCATGGGGATTCCGAATACAATATTGGTTTTCGGGATTATCGATTACTTTTATCGATTTTATCGATTTTTTTGCTGAGTTCACCTACGGGGCTGGGATTTGGCACAGGGGGGTAATCGAGCATGGGGATTCCGAATACAATATTGGTTTTCAGGATTATTGATTACTTTTATCGATTTTATCGATTTTTTTGCAAAGTTTGAGCTACGGGGCTGGGAGTTGGCACAGGGGGGTAATCGAGCATGGGGATTCCGAATACAATATTGGTTTTCGGGATTATCGATTACTTTTATCGATTTTATCGATTTTTTTGCAAAGTTTGAGCTACGGGGCTGGGAGTTCGCACAGGGGGGTAATCGAGCATGGGGATTCCGAAAACAATATTGGTTTTCGGGATTATCGATTACTTTTATCGATTTTATCGATTTTTTTTGCAAAGTTTGAGCTAGGGGGCTGGGAGTTGGCACAGGGGGGTAATCGAGCATGCTGATCATCCCCAAGGGGGGTGATCAGCATGCTCGATTACACCCCTGTGCCAAATTCCAGCCCCCTAGCTCAAATTTTCAAAAAATCGATAAAATCGATAAAAGTAATGGACGATCTTGAAAACTAATATTGTATTCGTAATCTGCATGCTCGATTACCCCCTGTGCAAACTCCCAGCCCCGCAGGTCAAATTTTACAAAAAAATCGATAAAATCGATAAAAGTAATGGACGATCCTGAAAACTAATATTGTGTTCGTAATCAGCATGCTCGATTACCCCCCTGTGCAAAATCCCAGCCTCGCATGTCAAAATTTACAAAAAATCGATGAAATCAATAAAAGTAATCGATAATTCTGAAAACTAATATTGTATTCGGAATCCCCATGCTCACTTCCCCCCCTGTGCCAACTCCTAGCCCTGTAGGTGAACTCTGCAAAAAAATCGATAAAAATCGGTAAAATCGACATCGATCGATAACGAAAAGTGGACTGTGACACCCGCCGGGGCCCGAAGTGTATGTGTGCCAAGTTTGGTCCGGATACGGCGGAGCCGGGTAAGCCAGCTAGTTCTTAATATGAAAAACCGACAGTTGAGATTCTGGGAGGTCTGCTCAATACACTAATTGAGAGCGTTCGAAGTCTGATTCCTAGCGTAGATTGAGAAAATATTACTTTCCTTTGAGTATAAAAAAAGCTGATTTTTTTCACTTTTGAAACCAACTTAATCATGTTTGAAAGTCACGCTTTCCAGACGTTAGGAAACTAGAAAATGTGATAGGTAATGATTTGTTGAGCTCGTAGAGGTAGCTACTGTAAGCTTACGTGCATGCCAAATCTTGCCAACACAAAATGCTCAAATGCTCCTATGAAAAATTATGAACAACTGCAGTACGAAATCAGCCGAAATTGCGCAAAGTATGATATGGACACTCTTACTCTCCAGATTTTTTAAGGTATTCTCATCTGAATATTGTGTCGAAGCAATGATTCGGATTCGCACAGGTGTCACTAGCGTCTCCGTTGGTCGTCGTTGCCTGAGCGAGTATCAATGCCTTAATTCGTCCCTGTCGCTGGTAGTCAGAGACGGTGTTTCACTTACTAACACAGAATATAGTTTTTTATTTTATTAATGGCTTCTCTCCACTACATAAAAAGTAGAACTGGCTCGTAAGAGGCGATGGTATTCCCGTGAAAAACCTTTGGAACAACAACGACGTTCCGCAGGCAATACCAATACCCTGTTGAAGATGACATGGTAAATCTTGTTTTAGTGCTTTCCACCGAGCGAATTCCGTTCCAGCGAGGGGGGGGGGAGATTTACCCGTATGAAGCTCTGCAGCCGACCTTCTAGCTTCGATCTTCGCGTTGAAATCACCGAGGATAATGTAAAAGATTGTCTTTTCTGTAAAGCTCTTCAATTCCATATAGAAGGTCTCGAGCTCGTCCTCGTCGTAGCTTGCTCTTGGGGCAGACGCAATGAAGACTGTAAGGGCTGAAGTCGATTCAAATTATAATCGTAGATCCAATTTAAGTGGTTAGTTGTTGGGAGGAATCGATGTTCGTGGCCAAAATCGTGCTGACAAAGACTTCGATTCCGCCTACTGTCGCATATTCTTAACAACAGTTCTTTTCCAGTCTTAGGGCCGCATGCGCTAACCTCCCGGCTGGGGAAGGGATCGCAGCTTAAAAGAAAGATCTATATTTCAAAACTCCAGATACCTGGATTTCACATTGTGTACCTATCCGTAAGTATTCCTTCTACCCTTCACTATGAACATGTTGAACAGGAGCGAGAAGCTGTACGAACTGCGTTTTCCAGCTTTTATATGATCCATGATGATCCCGGCGCTTTTCTTTAGAGTCATTTTTCTTTCTCCGAAGTTAATGAAAACCTTCCAAAGTTGTACTGAACATCTAACACAACAGTGCTAAGCATGCTGCTGATGAGAACAATTGAGTTTTTGAAAAGTCGAATTTTTCGGTAAACCTCAAATTTCGACCTGTGGATCATCTAAAATTTCATGCTTTCGGAACATCATTTGTTCTTATCAGCAATATGCTTAGCACTGTCGGGTTAGATAACCTGCTCAACTTTGGAGGTTTTTCGTTAAGTTCGGAGAAAGAAAAATGACTTTAAAGAAAAGCGCCGGGGATCATCAGGGATCATACAAAAGCTGGGAAATGCGGTTCGTATAGCTTCTCGCTCCTGTTTAACATGTTCATAGTGAAGGGTAGTAGGAATACTTACGGATAGGTACACAAAGTGAAATCCAGGTATCTGGAGTTTCGAAATATAAAGCTTTCTTTTAAGCTGGATCCCCTCCCCGCGGGGATGTTAGTGCATGCGGCCCTTAGATGTGGCGTTTAGCGAGTGGTGCCTCCTTGCCTCGGTCAATTCGATGAAGTGTAGTTTTTCCTTGCTTGCATCATGAGATTTTCCGAAAGATGCCCACCGTCCTTGCGTTGTAGGTACAGATCGTCATCATTGCTCGTCTCTTGGCAGCCTAGATCGCCCTTCAAACCTTGTCTTCACTAGAGTTGTCTTACCAGTGGCTTCTTCCACGATTGACTGTACTTTCCAAACCGCTATATTTGACGACTGATCTACTCGCAGAAGTAATCTTGTGGCTCAAATCTACCGGGGGCGGTCGGAGTTAATTTGCTGGAGATGACTCCTGAACCACCTTTCCCACCTACCCAGGAAATGGGGATGCAAGTGGTTTGGGGAGGGAGAGTCCATCCCTGGCTCCTCTTGCTTATCATAGCAGGGGCGGGCCGCTTTTGACCTGCGATTAGCTCTCCATCTACCACTTGGGGACGCCCCAGTAGACCCTTTTTATAAGGGACATCAGTGCTTGCAAGAGTAGACGTGATCAATGA